GACAATTAATATATGTATGTATGTGTGTATGTATGTATGTATGTATGTGTATGTATGTAGTATCTATGTATATATATATATATGTGCATAAGCTCTAGTGGTTGTCCCTAACGTGATTTATACTGTAATGACAAAAAGTAAAAGGGCTTTTTAAGAAAAAGTCTAAATAATTATGCAATACAAATAGGAATACACATACATACAACATACTTATATATATATATATATATATAATCAAGATTTAGGCATAAGCACCCATTTACACATGTTCATCTATCTATGTTTATATTGTAAATCAATGTATTTAAGCTATCCATGGAGATAAAGTATACATTTATTGAAAATTACCAGAGAATAATAATAATAATAATGTATGAATGTCTAAAATGAGAGATAAAGAATATCAAATATTTGCCACTTGGTAGTTCTTTTTTGTTGCTTCTGGTCATCAGATTTTTTTTATTTAAGGATATACTTCTGGTCAGCGTTTTTTTTTTAGAGAGTTTATTTTCTACGATATGGGGTCACTAACCCCATGCCCAACCCTCCTCCTTTGTCTGGGCTTGGGACCGGCAGTAGCCCCAGAAGAGACCCAGGTGGAGTTTAAGAATATAGTTTCATTTAGTAATTTTATTCACTTTAATATTATTCTTCCGACTTTCCTATTCTTTGTAGTTAGTTTTACTTATAGCATCTTTTTAGTATAAAATATTATTATTATTATTGTTATCTCTGTATCTAAATATTTTAGGATTCCATAAAGTAAAAATGACAAGATATCACATGAAACAGAAACAAAGCATTGTAATTATAAGCAAAGATGGATAATGGCTAGTAGTGGAATCCAGTTTTATGTGCGTTTCGTCCTATTTGTGACTTGTCAGCTGGATGTACGTGCATCCTAAAGATGATATTCACTCTGGGACTCTAACTCAGTATTGTTCCTACGTCCTGAATTCCACTATCTATCTTTGCTTATAATGCTTGTGAAATAAGACAATATCAAGGTAGTCCGCACAGTATACACATATGTCAATAAGAGACTGATCAATGGCAGTCCTAACCATCAATGAGAAGACTCAAGTAAACAATACCAAAGCATTGTCATGTTGTCAACCTACTAAATATTGGTAACAATTTTGATCATTGATATGTTTTTCTAAAGAAGACTGAATTGGGTTGATAATAGTGAGATTTTTACAACCATAATTTTCTTCTTTAGAATATTGAGGTTTAACACTTGTAACGGCTTTTTTACACCGAGTAAATGATATGTTTTAATTAGCGAGGTATTTTTTTCCCAACCGTCTCAATATTCCAATAATCCATTTTTGTGTTGTTTGACTACTGAGTAGTAAATACGTTCATATTTAATTAATACTCATATCACAGAAAAAATTCTGTCAATTAAGTTGTTTAAAAACTACTTATATTGGGGACTCAAGATCATGTGTACTGTCTTTATGTTATGTGCTTGATGGGGTTAGTAAATACCCCATTATCTAGACTTTGAACAATTTTGCTGGTGATGTGTCTGAAGTTTTTAGTAGATTGATCCTTAACATGCGAATCCAACACGCGTTCATTATCGCCTTACAAGGACTGAAAGTGAGTCGTTGATACTCCAATTGGTCACTGAACAATGAACAGTATCATACCTATCAGAATTCTATAGATCAAGTTCATTTCTTTAGTATCACAAACAAATCTTGCTGAATAGTGATATCTAACATGTAAAGTAGATCCTTGGCTTCCAACCATGTGGTACTTTCAATAAGCTTCATCTAAATAGTTAAATCTGTTAAGTTTCTAATCTATATATTAACTGAATACGATAAATCTGAATGTGAGACTAGAATGGCAGATGATATTTTTTTATCTTGATCTATTTTCTGACAAAATCAGGAACTTCTAAGTTATAACTTGCCTTCAGAATGATGAAATAGGAAGCTAATCACAGTAAATCTAACAGTGTATAGTATCATTCTACAAAATGGTTATAAGAACCAAAGTGACTTCTAAACTTTGTAATCATGGGAGCATTTTTCATGGTACTTTTAAACCTTTATATTTACACTATAGACCAGGAAGAGTTTTTCAACATATTCCATATTTTTCACTAAGAATCGTCTAGTATATTTAAGCATTTAATACTGAGTAGGCAGTTATTATGTTTGTTTGAAATAAGCCTGTTTTAGGTGTTTATTTATTAAATAGTTCCAAGTTAGTGATTTAGTTAGCTTTCAACCAATCTAATGTAGAATTGAACGGCTCTTTACCTATTTCCGTATAAAAAGATAGGTAGTGTTACTGAGTCGATCTTTCTCGGGTTTTGAACAGAGGTTCGGCATCGTGTGTTCGGGCACAGAGACGATCATCCATTTGGTGTCACCATCTTGAACCATCGACTTCGGTGGCTTGGACATGTTCTACGAACGCCGTCCCAGAGAATTCCACGTCGTGCATTATTTGCCGACGCTGGGACTGGTTGGAAAAAGCGGAGAGGTGATCAGTGTATGACATGGCGTCTTGGTATGAAAGAAAGCTGCAAAGGACTGGCTTCCATTGGTCCTTCTTAACTTCCTAGCTGGGGTCCGAGAGATGGTGTAACCCAATGGCTAGAGACGTTATCAGATATGGCTCAGAATAGAATCCAGTGTCAATTCAGCTGTAACCTTTTACTTTCCTCATAAAAAGTGGTTGTAACTTCCTTAAATAAATGGATTATTTCTGGTTGTACCTTTCCGTTTCCCCCGTTATTATTATTACACTAACATAGACTAATCTGTGGTCGTTATTGCTGTTCTTCGTCTCCTTTTATTTTCTTATACTCACCATACCTTCTTCTTCTCTTTCCATTCTCATTGTTTTGTGTGGAGCATATATATCTGGTGCCCCCTTGTACCAATATTTATGTGTATCACCACATGATTTAAAAATTTATCGTCAGGTTCGATCAAACAATAAAAAGACGTGTGGTGTCGGTGTAGCTACTTTTGTAAACGCGAACTGTGATGTCGATCTACTTCTGAGTGTTTCAAGTTTTCAAATAACTTTTATCCAGTTCAATCTTTTATCATAGCTAAAGCATAACACTACTAAAAAGTATGAGACTGTAAAGTTACTGTAAAATATTTTATGATTTTCGGTGATTCTCTATGATAATGATGATGCCTTTATTTTAAATAGAGCAAGAACGAAGATTGATGCAAAATAGTATGAATTCATTTTATTTCGTTAGGTTCTCATCAGCTCCTTACAACCTAAATTACTTGAAATTCAAAATGATTACAGATATTGACATATATAAGAGGGTGATTAAAGATGAATAGATGTATCTTGGTGTAGCAAAGATTCCGATAGAGTTAATGAGGTCATAAAATTTTTGTCTCAAATAGAGTTTGAGAGGGAAAGTTCTGGAACATTGAAATAGTGATTAGAACTCATGAAAATAGAATAATGGTAATAAAGAAAATATGAATTGAAATCAATCATTTATGTATGATGTAATTTATATTTCAGAAAGAGTTGCAATAATGACTTCCGATACACTAGAAGAGGAAGTTATGAATGTTAAAAAATGTTTAAAGAATAACGGATACCCACTGAAATTTATTGAGAAATACGGCAAATGTGAAGATAAAAAACCGAAAGAAATTACGGCAAATGAAAAGCCTATTTTTATTCAACTTCAATTCAAAGGTGACGATGTCACAGGATCAATCAATATGAGACTAAAAACTGCACTGACAAGAACTTATCCTGCAGCGAAATTGATTGTCCTGTCCAAAACAACATGTTCTTTGACACAATCAAAGGTTGACAGATATCCCTTTCATGTTACCACCAACTGTGTATACAAATTTACATGTACCTGCCAAAGCAGTTACACTGGTAGAACAGAAAGGAAAGCCTACGTCCGATTCAAAGAACATATTCCGAAAAGTTTAAGGTTAAATGGATTGAACGCATTCAACAGTGCTATCGCAAGATATCTCCTTGATACAGGACATAAAGCTGATATACTGAAGTCCTTCAAGGTGATTAACAAACAATCAAACTCCAACCTTTTGAAATTCGCTGAAGCGTTAGCAATCAAACGTTTAAAACCAGATCTATGTATAAAAAAAAGAAACAGTAATAAATCTTTCTTTACCCTGATAACAATAACCTCGACTCTTTCTATTCATTTGCTCCTATTTATTTATTTATTGCGTTATTACTCCAACTCTTTTCAATTACATCATACATAAATGATTGATTTCAATTCATATCTTCCTTTATTACCATTAATCTATTTTCATGAGTTCTAATCACTATTTCAATGTTCCAGAACTTTCCCTCTCTAACTTGATTTATTTATTCGAATCAAACATTTTATGAACTATCAGTATGGAGGTTGTGGAGATTGTTAAGTTTTTTTTTGGTTGAGATCATGAATTAATTGATGTTAGACCACCGTTGGAAACCTGGAAGCACTGGACGGCCGTTTCGTCCTAGTATGGGACTCCTCAGCAGTGCGCATCCACGATCCCGCACCCCGCGGGATTCGAACCCAGGACCTACTGGCTTCGCGCCTGAGCACTTAACCATTAGACCACTGAGCCGGCATCTAATGGTGTTAGTGTCTAACATCAACAACAACATTTTATGAACTCATTAACTCTATCGGAATCTTTGCTTGTTACATCATCATACACATGTATTGATCCTTAATCACACTCTTATGTATAAATATGTCAATATCTGTAATAATTTGGAATTTCAAATAATTTAGGTTGTAAGGAGCTGATGAGAACCTAACGAAATAAAATGAATTCATATTATTCTGCACCAATCTTTGTTGTTGCTCTATTTATAATAATAAAGGGAACTATGTGTATGAAAGATGCCTTTATTATTCATAAGAGACTCTTTTTATGCTTTCAGAACGTATTTCTAATTTCTTCCCATTGTTATTAATTGTTTGTTTGTTTGTTTGTTTTCTTTCTTTCTTTCAGGCTCATCAATTCTATCCATTAGTTCAAATTAATTGTTCTAAAGATTTACGATTTTTATTATGTTCTATTTATACACCAATTTGTATCAAAGGTTATCCACATTTTTTACCACCATGTCGTTCTATATGTGAACGTGTTAAAGCTGGTTGTTCACCAATTATGGAACATTATGAATTTCCATGGCCAGAACGTATGAATTGTGAACAATTTCCAGAATATAATAATCCTGATGGTATATTATGTATGGAACGTAATTTAACACATGAAGAACAATTAGAATTTCAATCAATCAATATAAAAGGTGATGAACAATTTAAATCAATAAATCAATCATCAATAAATCAATTAAATCAATTATCAAATAATTTACATAGAACATCACAATTACAAATCATAAATACAAATGATCAAATGAAATCATTATCATTAGAAGAGATTGAATTCAAGAATCAATTTAATGAAGAGGCTAGTTATTTATTATTTGAAAAAGCAATACAAAATGATGATATACATAAATTAAAAATGACATTCCCTAATTTACATTTAAAATGTACATGTGATTGTAGACCACCATTAATAAATATTAAAAATTCAGAAATTAATAATAATGCAAAAGTAAGAATTTTATTGATTCATTTTTGTTGTTGTTCTTTTATTCATTTTTTAGAGTAAATCATATCATGAGGGGATTGTTGGAGTTCTAGTGAGAAGTCGTGACCAGTGGAGCTAATTTGTGTCGGGTAGAGACATGTATCTACTTCGTTACAATGGAAGATGGTCACGCAATTTAATGGATTGGTTGAAGTTAGATATTAACACCATGGAATGCCAGCTTAGTGGTTCAGTAGGTTAAGCGTTCGGACGCGAGACTGAAGGGCCTGGGTTTGAATCCCGTGAGTGGGATTGTGGATGTGCAATGCTGAGGGGTCCCACAATAGGACGAAACAGCTGTCCAGTGCTTCCAGGTTCCCGATGGTGGTCTAAAATCAATCAGTTCATGATCTCAATTTAAAATAAATGATTGTTTGGAAAGTGAATTTTAGTTAATCTTAGTTGCACAATACATTTCGAACAATCTGATCACAGATCATATAGTTGTTAAGAATCATTGGATGCGCATTGTTGGAGAGTTCCACAGTAGGACGGAACGATTGTCCATTGCATCCAGGTTTTCTATGGTGGTCTAGATTCAACTGACTCATGAATCCAACTATTAATATTACCATAATATCCACAAAATCCCCCTCTGATTATAATCAACATATGCTCACTAGTGACTGGCTTCAAGAGGTATTTCCTGGAGTTCTAGTGAGAAGCCGTTATCAGTGGAGTTCGACCGCATCTGTTGTGAGATAGTAACTCACCGATGACAATGGTGGGTGTGTCGCGCAATTTCGTGTATTAGTTTAAGTCAGACATTAACACCGTTAGCTGCCGGCTGGCTCAGTGGTCTAGACGTTAAGCGCTCGCTCGCGAGACTCATAGATCCTGGGTTCCGATCCCATGAGGCGGGATCGTGATAACACACTGCTGAGCAGTTCCATAATTGGACGAAACGGCCGTACAGTGCTTCCAGGTTCTCCATGGTGATCTAGCTTCAATTGACTGATGATCTCAACTATTAAAATTACAGTAATATCCGCAAAATCCCTTCTGATATTAATTATTTATATAAAAATATATTAAAAAATACATAAAAATGAAAGGTCAACTAGACTAGAAATCGAGGGTAAGAGGAGACAAGGATCATAATGTGGAAACAATTCGAAACCTCATCACTCGGGATAATAAGCTCATATCACCAGAATAGGTTTAAGGTGAGAACTAACTGTTCTTCAACACACAAAGGAGGCGTGAATTTTCGTATGGCTACAGCTTCAATAAACCTTAGTATACACCCTTTTGCACTTTTGTACAACACAAAAGTCCAGTCTTATGACCTGTTTCAATTATATGTTTGGCAATAGAGGATGATTAATGTTTATCCTATACTCTTATTGGGTCATTTGATTCTATTCCTCTTAACCTCGATTTCTAGTCTAGTTGACCTTTTATTTTTATATATAAATGTTCTTAGCAAGTATATAGTGTGTGATCAGATTGTTCGAAATATATTGCGCTAATATATCATTACATAGTTCTGATAATCTTTGTCTTATTACACTATCGAACTTTACCTAAGGGACTAACTGCTTAGTGCAAGGTTATTTATTTCGGTCAAGTCAATAGTTTAAAGAATATTAAGTCTACCATTCATATTTGTTCACATAGATAGTTTTCAAAAATTCTGATAAAAAGTTATAATTGTTGAAATTAGTCAAATCAACGATCATTGAGCAATTCAATGGTGATTTTGGACTTTAATTTATATAGGATATTACACAATTATCAAGCACTATCGTTGATCAGTAACCATCTCAGTGTCGATATGATTACAGTTTTTCATTAGAACTTTGAGAATTGTGTTCTGAAACTAATCACCAGGTAATACATAGTTGCTGTCAGTACAGAAATTTTGTTGACATTGTTGAATTTTGTAGTTTACCTTATATTATTGACTGAAGCTAGATAATCATCATAAACTAGAGAACATCAATGGTGGGTAATTACTTCTTAATCAATATGGTTGAGGTCTATACTGTAACAAATCACTAACGTCATTCATTTAACATTTCGCGTTAGTCTCTATGACGTATCTTGTGAGTTCTCAGAGGATCATTTTAAAGTGATCTCAGAGTTTACCATAACACAGTAATTTTCCACATAGATTATTCATGTTGTCGTTTAGACCCAGTGATCTAATTGTAACGTAATCATCGGGAGGCCTCTGGATTGTTTCACCGACTCCCAGTAGAATTATACGCACAAAACGATATGCTTAAATAAAACAGTTGTTCATTGCCTCTTGATCTTCACTGGTACTGTTGTGACGGGTGGTGTTCAAAATCTGATATTGATACACGGTGTGCTCCCAAATTGACTATCTCAAGTGAGAACACAAGGGTGAGGGAGAAATTGTATAGTCTACCGAATAAAATGCACAAGTACTCATTCATATAAACATCACTCTAATCCTTAGGAAATCGGTCTGTTTCTTAGCCAATGAAATTCACTCGTCCCTTAGGTCACTTCTGGCCGCCATCGATTGACCTTTACACTGGGCTACTTCTGATTGACTCTGCATATCAGGTACCTCAGTTAATATTAACCTTTGAATTATACTGTCTTTGTAGTAAGTTAACGATTAAAAGTTACCATAATGATGAACATGATTGTATTCAAAAAGAATAAATATTTTCAAGTAATTCCATTTCATTTCTGGAATACCTTCATTACTGGCTATCAGTTTATATGTTCTGTTCCGTTAAATTAGATTAGGTAACTAACCATATGTAATTGTATAATTTAAGGAAAATCAAATAGTTTAGAAATCACCGTATTCAGAGATAAATAAATAATTTTGGTCAGATTGGGATTTGTAGAGATTGTAGTAATTTTAATAATTGAATTCATGAGTTGATGTAAGCTAGACTACCATTGAAAACCTGGAAACACTGGGTGACCGTTTCGTCCTAGTATGAGACTCCTCATAAGTTCGTATCCACGATCTCAGACATGGAACTCACGCACGAACATTTAATCTCTGCATCTGATGGTATTAATGTCTAACTTCCATCGATCCATGAATGACTGCGCAATCATTCATTCATTATCTAAGGTAGGTACCAATCTCTACCCAACACAGGTTGAATTCCACTGATCATGTACATACATAAATGACAAAAATATATGAGGCTAGACCACCATGGAAAAACTGGGAGCACTGGACGGTCGTTTCGTCCTAGCATGGGACTCCTCAGCAGTGCGCATCGACGATCCCACACCCCGCGAGATCCGAACCCAGAACCTGTCAGTCTCGCGAGCGCGTGCTCATCGTCTAGACCACTGAGTCGGTCGACATCTAACGGTGTTAATGTCTAACTTAAAGTAATACACGAAATTGTGCGACACACCCACCATTGTCATCGGTGAGTTACTATCTCACAACAGATGCGGTCGAACTCCACTGATAACGGCTTCTCACTAGAACTCCAGGAGTATCTCTTGAAGTCAGTCACTAGTGAGCAGATGGTTATTATCAGAAGGGTTTTGTGGAGAGTTTAGAAATTTTGCTGATTGAAATCACGAGTCAATTGAAGCCAGACCACCATGGAAAATCTGGAAGCACTGGACTTAGCCAAGTATCAATAAAACCCACGGAGCACTAGATAGTTATTCCACACTAGTATAGGTCTTCTCAATACTGAACATTCACAAAGTTGTAAGGGAGAGAATTCGGAACATTATGTTTCATGGTTAGCTCTTAACCATTTAACCATAAGACTATCAAGAGTTTCGAATACCTTGGGACTTAAACCAATTCACGAAGTTGCGCTACCGTATACCATTGTCATCAGCGAGCTGATATCTTACAACAGACCTCGTTGAACTTCACTGGTAACGGCTTCTCACTAGAACTTCATGTGTATCTCTTGAAATCAGTCACTTGTGAGCAGATGATTATTATCAGAAGGGGTTTGTGGAGACTTTAGAAATTTCACAGATTGAAATCTCCACAAACCCTTTCTGATAAAAATAAATGGATTTATTTATTTATCTGACTAACCAATAATTACATGTGTATTTAACTAGACAAAGTTTGCTTTTTCCATTTATATTATTATGTAATAAACTAACATAATGAAATACATCTTCTGAAACAACATGTAACATCAAAACAACATTACATAATACCATTGATGATTAAACACTATAGGTGGCCATTCAAAAACATGAATAACAATACAGTAAATTAAAACAATTCTAGAAAAGTGAATGAATAATTATTGTTAATCATAATATTGTGTAGGTTGTGTTTGTGTGTGTGTGTGTGTGTAGGCCCACATCTACTTGTACATGTACACATGTTTGGTCATATGAATAATGGATAAGTTCCTGAATTCATTTGTTAACATACAATTACTGATTGTTTTGTCGTTCAAGGAAGTTGAATATAGAAAAAATAACCCATTGTTCAATGGTGTCTGGAATATAAAATTACAAAGATACATTAATGATTGATTGATTAACTGATTGATTAATTGATAACAATCATTGTACTATTTGTTGCATTGAACATTTTGGTAAGTTGTCTATGTCAATAAGATGATTATTTCATTCATACTAATTTTTGTTAAAACTCCGCCAGGAGTAACAAGCGTAAGTAAGTAAGTAAGTAAGTAAGTAAGTAAGTAAGTAAGTAAGTAAGTAAGTAAGTAAGTAAGTAAGTAAGTAAGTAAGTAAGTAAGTAAGTAAGTAAGTAAGTAAGTAAGTAAGTAAGTAAGTAAGTAAGTAAGTAAGTAAGTAGTAAGTAAGTAAGTAAGTAAGTAAGTAAGTAAGTAAGTAAGTAAGTAAGTAAGTAAGTAAGTAAGTAAGTAAGTAAGTAAGTAAGTAAGTAAGTAAGTAAGTAAGTAAGTAAGTAAGTAAGTAAGTAGTAAGTAAGTAAGTAAGTAAGTAAGTAAGTAAGTAAGTAAGTAAGTAAGTAAGTAAGTAAGTAAGTAAGTAAGTAAGTAAGTAAGTAAGTAAGTAAGTAAGTAAGTAAGTAAGTAAGTAAGTAAGTAAGTAAGTAAGTAAGTAAGTAAGTAAGTAAGTAAGTAAGTAAGTAAGTAAGTAAGTAAGTAAGTAAGTAAGTAAGTAAGTAAGTAAGTAAGTAAGTAAGTAAGTAAGTAAGTAAGTAAGTAAGTAAGTAAGTAAGTAAGTAAGTAAGTAAGTAAGTAAGTAAGTAAGTAAGTAAGTAAGTAAGTAAGTAAGTAAGTAAGTAAGTAAGTAAGTAAGTAAGTAAGTAAGTAAGTAAGTAAGTAAGTAAGTAAGTAAGTAAGTAAGTAAGTAAGTAAGTAAGTAAGTAAGTAAGTAAGTAAGTAAGTAAGTAAGTAAGTAAGTAAGTAAGTAAGTAAGTAAGTAAGTAAGTAAGTAAGTAAGTAAGTAAGTAAGTAAGTAAGTAAGTAAGTAAGTAAGTAAGTAAGTAAGTAAGTAAGTAAGTAAGTAAGTAAGTAAGTAAGTAAGTAAGTAAGTAAGTAAGTAAGTAAGTAAGTAAGTAAGTAAGTAAGTAAGTAAGTAAGTTTTTGTTTAGATTTTTTGTTTCAGTCTGCTATTACATAAGGTTAAATTGAATAACAATGTCCATTTGAATTATGAATAAAATTTGTTGATTTAAGTAGTATTATGATTCAAATAGTCGCTTAGTATTTATAAATTTCACTTTTATATATTTACTAATATTGTGAAACGCATGAAAGTCATGAATTTATTGTGAATAAACATGTCAACTATTCTATATCGGTATAGAGAGACTATGAAGATTGTTGGACTTTATAGTTTTACTCTAAAGACTGACCTTAGCTAGATATTCGGTGGAAACTAGGAAAAGCTAATACAGCTGTTTGTAAATATAATTATGGATAGATTCTATTAACTTGTGCCAAACTATAAGCAAACAGCTATATATTGATTATCCACCTCTAGTTACTCCGTAATGTAAAATTACGATGTTTCATAAGAGTATCATCTTTAAACTTATGGCAATCTTTATCATTAAAATCAAGAACTGGTCCAAACTAGCACAACATTGAGAACGTGAATGAGTTAGACAGTCGTTTTTATCCTAAGACAGAACTCCTTGGTAGTGCGCACCCACGACCCCACATGGAGGAATCAAACATAGTACTTACAGTCTCTCGTAAGAACGCCTAACTTTAAGATCTTTAAACCGGTATCCAATGGTTTCAATGCCCGGAGGTTAGGAGTTCATGCTCGAGATTGAAGTAAGTGAGTGCAATTTCTGAGTAAGGGGTCGTGGATGCGCACTTCTAAAGAGTTCCATCCCAGGATAAAACAGATGTCTAGTTCTTTTACGCTTTCATTATTGTGTTAGTTAACATCAGCTTTTGATTTCAACGATGAAAATACAAAATTTTTTTGCTAAACACTGATACTAATCGTAATCATTTACTGACTAGAAGAATAAAGAAAACCAATCAAAAATAGAATGCAGCCTACAATGAACGTTCAGAACTTTTTTTGAATTTATCTCAGAAAAACAAACAACCAACCAACATGTTCTTCATGTCGAATTTATTAATATACACTTGTTAGGTTTAACTTTATTTTTAAGTAAATAATTGAGTTTAAATTCACTTGGTATTGTTTTACTTAAATCTTCTCATTGATGTTGAGCACTACAATTGATCAGTCTCTTATTGCCGTATGCGAATACTTTGCGTATTGCCTCGATATTGCCCTAATTCACAAACATTATAATCAATGATGGAAAGTGGCTAGCAGTGGAATCCAGTTTTACGCGCATATCGTCCTATTTGAGACACACCAGCTGAATGTACATGAATATCAGGGTTAATGTTCACTAGGGGACTCGAATTCAGTACCGTTCGCTTCAAATGTCATCGCGTTATCCACTTAGCTAATGGTCTCATAGCGTTGAAGAATTAAAGTTAAGTATACATTATCGTAACTAGGGATTATTCCTGAAACTTAGAAATTGTAAAGAGTTGAGTAAAGTTGAGATATTTTTAGTATACTTCGAACTCGAAAAAAACTTGTAGGTCAAGTAGGTGCTTTTAATAGTGTTATATTCATTAAACAAGATAATTTAAGTGCCAAGGTCTCATTGCTGCTATGACGAAACTCATCGGAGCATACTTTAGGGAAAAATGATCCTATCACTGAGAAAGATTTAAATTATGATGATAACGTTTATCAAATTTCACTATGTCAACTATTCCTTATCCATCTATTTTAAATGATTTATGTATTCCGCGAATAACTTACTCATACACTACCGAAAACAATTTAGTATTATAAGTCAGCCAATCAGCCACAATGTAGGACTAGGCTCATATATGCATCAGTTCAAGTTGCCATATCTCATTAGCACAACATGATGAGCACCAAATTTATAGAAGTAGTCACTTCAATGGTAGTAATGTATAAAAGAAAGATCGTGTATAAGGATACAATATGGGAAAAAAATTAGTCGGTAGAAAGAAAGAAATAAAACAATTTTAGTCTCATGGTTTAAGGGCAGACAAAGAGTGTATACACCTACACCACTGTGATCGATTCTGAGCCACGTCACACAAAGTTCACAAAGATTGATTACGACAGACATGCGGACCCCAAACAAGTAGTCTGTATCTACCAACATGATTCAGACTAGAAGTTAGTGACTTCAAGCATTGATATCATGTTTTGGTTGGACTGTCCCTTATTTTCTTCCAACCGTCTCCAACACAAGTCAGCATCGCGCGTCGTGGTAATCAGTGTTCAGGCATACGTAATACGTGGACCAACCATCTCAGTCGATTAAAATTTACAACCTCATCAACTGATTTACCATTATTCCCTAATACCCCTGCGTCTAACCTCACTATTACTTATCCGATGATCCCAGAAGATGCCAGCAATATTTTTAAGACATTTGTGAAGAATACTTAGATGTTAGAATAGATCTCATCATGATTTGGCACACGTTATCATTTCGAGTTCAATTATTGAATTGTTTAATACTTCATTACCATATGTTTTAAGTTTCACAATGTATATTAGGTACCATTCGGCTAATTATCAGAAATTCAAAAATCCTTACTTTTCATTAGTATAGGTTTGCGGAGACGATTAAGTTTTCGATTGAGATCATGAACCGATTGATTTTTAAACCACTATTAAAAACCTGGAAGCACTAGACGGCCGATTGGTCCTATTGTGAGTCTCTTCAGCAGTGTGCATCCACAATACCACTCACGGGATTCGAACCCAAGGCCTTCAGTCTCGTGCACGTATTTAATATGAAACTTTTCTCATTCTATTCAAACCAAACTCATTTTAAAAAAATAATAATATTCTGTTTTCTTTATTCTATAAATTTTTTTAGATAACCGTAGCTGATATTAAAGATTGTTCAATGCCATGTTATACACCATATTATACATTTGATTCATCATATAATTTTACAACATTTTGGCTTGGTATATGGTCAACATTATGTGCTATTTCAACAATGATTACAATATTCACATTCATTACAGATTCATATCGTTTTCAATATCCTGAATTACCATTAATTTATTTATCGGCATGTTATTTTATGATATCTATGGGTTATTTAATTCGTGTATTTATGGGACATCAAGCTATAGCTTGTGATAGTTTACCATATGAATATGAAAATATACAATCTACTATGAATAGTAATAATAATAATAATGATCATAATTGGTTTGATTACAATCCATCTAATGTAACACTTTTACCAAATACATTAACAACAATCACCAAGGCAACATTAACAACGGTAACAATGAAAACAACAAATCAATTAATACGTTCAAAAATTTTACGATATGCATTAACTGGTAGAGTTAGTTGTGCAGTGGTATTTTTATTAATTTATTTTTTTAGTATGGCAGCTTCAATTTGGTGGGTTGTATTAGCACTTACATGGTTACTTGCTGCAGGTTTAAAATGGGGCAGTGAAGCAATATCAAAATATTCTCAGGTAAAATATAAAAAAAATTGTACTTTAACAGTGTATTTTATTCTTTATAATGTTTAAATATGAAGAAAATACTGGTATATATTCACTTGGTATTGTCTACTTGTAAATTCTCATCGTAATTTAGGATTGTAATTGATCAGTCTCTTGTTGGTAAATGTACATATTGTGCGGACTGCCCCGATATTTCCTGAAGTCACAAGCTTTATAAGTAAAGATGGATAGTGGTTAGTAGGGGAATATAGCTTAACGCGCATTTCGTCCTATTTGGGACTCGTCAGCTGGATGTATCTGCATCATAGAGTTGATGGTCACTCTTGAACACGGACTCAGTACCGTTCGCTGCAAACGTCATCATTTCAGTGTGATCATCAACTCTGACGAGTCTCAGATAGGACATAACGCAAGTTCTGGATTCCACTGCTAGCCACTATCCATCTTTGCTTATGTACACTGATATATATATATATATATATAGAGAGAGAGAGAGAGGTTGATTAAGTTGGTGGCTATGAGAACTCAGTAGGTCACTGGATAACTCGTTAATCGTTCAAGTGAAGGGTATTTTATTAGAGTCTTAGTGTGAATATCAGTATTAAAATCCAGGTACATTTAACTGACGAGTTCAAAATAAGACGAAATACGTGTCCTGAACTCCAGTGTTAGTCGCATACCACATATAGTTTGTATATTTAATTGCTATTCATGTAGATTATTTCAAGCAAATTATTTCCTCATCATCATCATCTTTCTCTTAAAAATGTGATTTCATTATGAACAACCACCAACTATCTGACATATTATGGAGTTTTTAAAGTATTATAGAGTATAATAATAGCCTTTCTTAAGAATATAGGAAAATGCAAAGAAGTTTAAGCTAAACTCATTATATCACAATGACAACTAAAAGGAAGGTTCCTTTTGACTATAAAGGTTAACTACCAAGATTTTTTTTTGAATGTCAAATCCAAGGTTTTAGGAATAGGATAAATGTTCTTGAATTCAAAGTCCATCTGCTTTATAATGTCCAATATGTTTACTATTGTAGTGAACAAGAACACCAATGGGGACAATCTGATGTATTTAACACAAAATTACAGGACTTGTTAATAAAATCTAACAATCAAATAGTAAATACGTAATTTGCAAAATATCCATCAATTGTCTCAAAATGATTCAGACTTCATTGTTCTTGCATTTTCATACAAATTGCATCCTGTTTCCATTCTTTACTGTTCGATCCTCTTGTCTCTCTGCTGCCAGACATTTTGTTCACGACCAACATTATATACTACTTATGTCAATATAAGTAGTACACACCACATTATCATTTTTCATTCATTTATTAAGTAAAAACTATATGTCAGAGTACAATTTTCACTGAAGATTACATTTTAAACTATAAATTTCATCTGTAAAGTTGAACTGTACTACAGTAACATATTCACAAAAGATATATATAAATACCTTTAGATGATCATATTGAAATCTTCAATGGAAACTGTTCTTATATATATCCATTAATAACCCACTAAATAAATGGAAAAAAATGTTTAAACAAGCTAGACATTAAACTTTTTATTGAATATTAGAAAAAAGATGATTATTTTCTGTTGGAGACGTTAGATCCCCAGAACTCACTTGAAAAAGGTCCTAATTTTGTAATTTTATTTAGAAAATTTGAATTTCTTTGTTTTCGCGCCAATGGCGCTCTTGTCACCTTCATGTCGTATTTCCCACTGGAAAATATCTTAAATGCTATTGGTCCATCGCGTTCTTTAGTATGCTATTTGGTAACTCTCCCCAAGGACAGTTTTGTACTGTATATATACGTTTTGAATTGTGTTTGCTGTTATCGCTCGTTTCTATCTGTTTGCAGATTATACTTCCCATTCCAAGCTTGGACTTATAACTCTCGTTAGCGGGGCTGGGACGTATCAATAGCTAGCTTACTGGTCTTTGGTCACCAAGTCCTGTTTCTCGTTCGCCGATTAAGTGAACTCGTGATAGCCTCAACTGTAGGATCTTCACATTGATTATGCTATTTAATAATATTTTTTCTATATCTTAGCAAAAATCGGTAAGACTATAATTTATGAACGAACTAATCAGATATAAGTTAGCAAGTCTCGGATTTTAGAGCGAAATTCATGATAATAACCTTAAATTTAATTCCTTACCTTAATCATCATTTATAAATCATAATTCTAATCCATAACACTACTTTATAATCCCTATTTAGTCCTAGTTATTAGATGGATACTCTGAAAGTCATTTTAATATCACTTAGATTTCGTCCATAAATTTATAATCTCATCAATAAATCTTACAAAATTACCAAATACTATTTCTCCTTTTTTTTTGGTTCTTTTTTTTAAAATTTAGGTTTTTCATTTTATTGCATGGTCATTACCAGCAAGTCAAACAGCATTAGCATTATTATTATCTATTGTAGAAGGTGATCCAATTAGTGGTTTATGTACAATACAATCAAATAAATCAATCACTTATATATTATTTATATTTGCCCCATTATTAATTTATTTAATGATTGGTATTATATTAATGATAATTGGATTTATTGCATTATTTCATATACGTGGTACAATTAAATTACAAAGACCCCATTTCATAGAAACACAAAAATTAGATAAATTAATTCTTCGTATTGGTATATTTGGTTTGTTATATACTATACCAAATTTAATTATTTTATTCTCTATTGGTTATGAATTACGTCATACTTATTTATGGCAATTAGGTATTGCATGTCATTGTCATTATGATATTGGTCAATATCATCAAATTAATAATAATAATAATAATAATAATAATAATCAAGAAGGAGAAGGAGAATTAGAACCAATTTTACCAATAGCATTACCAGTATGGAATTCACCAAAACCAGTATATACTCTAATTATGTTAAAACATTTTATGAATTTAATGATTGGTATTATATCTGGATTTTGGATATGGTCTAATAAAACAATTCAATCATGGAAACAATTTTGTTTACATAAATTATGTTTATTTCAATTGAATAAATATAAAAGTAATAGTAATGGTTTATTAATTAATCCAATTCAACATCATATAGATTATGATAGATTACATAAAAATTATATGAAACAATCAATATATATTCCATCAATGAAATCAATACAATCGATGACACATAATAAATCAATACATCAATCAATAAATCAATATCCTATATTTATTGATAATAATGAATATTGTAATACAATTGTAATGACTACTAATAGTAGTATTATTATTACTACTACGAATACTACTGTTACTACTACTACTACTAATACATTGAGGCAACATAATATTACATCTTATGATTTAATGAATAATGGAATATTATCAAATATAAATTCATTAGTTACATTAAGTACACCATCTACACCATTTTCTACACATCCATATGATATACCGAATCATCATGATATACAATATAAATCATCATTGAATGCATATTATTCTATAGATGGTAGTACAATATCACAACAATATGGTGATGTAAATTCTTATCATACTAATAATAGTTTTAGTAATAGTAATAGTAATAATAATAATAATAGTAATATTGACAATAAATGTATGATAACGAATACAAAAAGTTATGTAACACAATTATCTGGTAATTCAATGAATCCTAGTTTTTCTACATTAAGTAGTAGTTTGAATAGTCCGCAAAAATCTTCAGTATCTCATTTAAATAACAATAATAATCATAATTTAAATCATGCTAATAATAATAATTCCATGAGTACGGGAATTTCAAGTAGTGGAATTAGTAGTTCACATATAAATGATGGTTTAACAAGAACTGCATCAAAACTGATTGGATCTGAATTAAATTCTAAATCGATATCACCTAAATTTATTGATTATTATTTTAATGGTGAACAAAGAAATCGTGAATTGATTGGATCACAATTAACACCGACAACAACAACAACAACTGCAACGATAACGACAACAACAACTACTACTACTGCTACAACTGTACTCTCAATGATCAAGTATGATCGTAATATGGATGACAATAATTTAAGACGAAATAATCATTCTGTTTTTGTTAATAATCAATTTGTATCGAATATGATGAATGAAAATCATAAGAAGTAAGCTAATGTTAAGTTTATTTTATGGTTGTTTTTAGTAGTCTTATTCAATAAATAGAAAATTTTATATATAGTTTATTATTCTGGAATGAAATTGATTAGTTATTATGATAATCTCACTGGTTGAGATCATGGGTCAATTGAAGCTAGACCACCATGGAAGACCTGGAAGCACTGAACGGTCGTTTCCTCCTAGTATGGGACTCCTCATCAGTGCGCATCCACGATTCCGCTCCCCGTGAGATTCCAACCCAGGACTTATCAGTCTCGCGCCAGGCACTTAACGAACTAGACCACTAAGCCGGCATCCAACAATGTTAATGTCTAACTTCAACCAATCCACGAAGTTACGCCCATACTAGGACGAAACGGCCGTCCAATGCTTCGAGGTTTTCCATGGTGATCTAGCTTCAATTAACTCATGATCTCAACCAGTGAAATTTCTAAAAATCTTCACAAAACCCATTCTGATAATTATGATAATCATTTATTAACTATATGCCTATTAGTAACTAATTTTATCGAATGAATTCCGATATTTTATCGAGAAGCTTTAACCAATAAAATTCAATCATGTTGGATATGAGGCAATTACTCGAGAAAAAAAATATTGAAAGCTGATTGCTCAACTGGTGTAAACTGATTGTCGTTATGAATGTAGACCATTGAATATTGAATCAATAGTTTAAATGTTAAATACTCGTCAGGAAATCTAAACATTATGGATTTGATCCTTAGTGAAGTAATGGATGCATACTAGGACAAAACAGCCATATCAAGGCTTACTGGCTTTTATTGTTTCACTAACTAATATCAGTTGGTGATCTGAACTCTAAAGCTTACTACCCGCCACAAACCACTTACATTATCAGTGTTATTATACAAGGATAAAACAACTTTAGAGTTGTATAATTTCAGGTCTGCAGTTAATATGAAGTGCGAACAAATTACATTTTTTTCTCTTCTCACATACATGTTACTTGTAGGATATGATTTTATTAATATGTAAGATTTTAAGTATGGATTGTATGCAGTTCTATAAACTTGAACCAAACTAATTTTCTAATGAACCATTCGTAAATAGAGTTTAATATCAATAACAATAGCAACTTCTTATTAATTCGTAATAGTGTTAGTGTCTAACATCAACCAATCCACAAAATTGCGCGACCATCTTTCATTGTACTGAGGTAGATACCTGTTTCTACCCGACACGGATTAGCTCCACTGGTCACGGCTTCTCACTAGAACTCCAAGAATTCCCTCACGAAGCTAGTCACTAGTGAGCACAAATAATTAACTTATGCTTCGTGGATTGGTCGATGCTAGACATTAACACAATTGGATGCCGGCTCAGTGGTTCAGTAGGATAGGCGTTCACGCGCGAGACCGAAGGCCCTGGGTTCGAGTCCCGCGAGCGGGATCGTGGATGCGCACTGGTGAGTAGTCCCACAATAAGACGAAACGGCCATCCAGTGCTCCCAGGTTTCCAACGGTAGTCTAACATCAATCTGTTCGTGATCTCAATCGAAAACTTGGTGATCTCCACAACCCCTACACTGTTAATTCGTAATAGTTATCAATTCTGTGTATATTTAGTATCTAGATGGCATTAAAAATTCATGAAGCTCGATTTTTCTTATTGACTTATCTACTGAGTCAACAAAAGTCACCAATATGCTCAGCAGTTATGAATAACAATAGAATTCAACTTTCTTGATCAACTATCACTGACTACATTTTAACAATGTTAGATATATGAGTACAAATTGTGGAAAAACATCACTCTATTGGCATTTCTTTTTTCAGTGTACAGTAATCATGAAGGATTAATGTTTAAAAAAAATACCAAATTAAATTAATTTATCAGAAGGGGGTTTTGTGGAGATTTTGGTAATTTTATAGTTGAATTCATTTGTCATTTAAAGCTAGACCACCATCAAAAACCTAGGAGCACTGAACGGTCATTTCGTCGTAGTATGGGACTCCTCAGCAGTGCACACACGATCCGGCCCCGCGAGATTCGAACCCAGAACCTGTAGATCTCTTATGCGAACGCTTAACCTCTAGACTACTGAGCCGGCATTCAACGGTGTTAATGTTTAACTTCAAATTAATTTATTCACTAGGTACTTGGATAGGAGCCACAATTCGAGTGTAAGGACTAATGATACTACCATTCGATTGCTCAAACCATGATAGAAAGATTGGGATTCGACTCTAGGACTTAATAGTTGCAATAACTACTAATTAGCCGCTTTTTTCACATTTTACTTATCCCTGCAGCTAAAAATAAGTTGAGGATTTTATCTTCCTCTTCAAAAAAATAATTCACTTGAATATAATCACAGCTAAGCTGAACAGAAATTTGTTAGTAAAGAACTGTTCATTTTTAATTAAAATGCAAAGATACTATAAATTATGAAAATATAAAGTGAATTTACATTACAGACAGTACAGACGACTATGCTGAAGATCAAATTCAAGATTAATATTCCCATAACTAGGTGTAAACAGCTAAGATGTCCCATACTAAAACGAAACAATTACTCAATATGGGGCTCCTCAGCAGTGCGCACCCGCGAACCCGCCCCCCGCGGGATTCGAACCCGGGACCTACTGGCTTCGCGCGAGCACTTAACCACCAGACTACTGAGCCGGCACCCGACGGTGTTAATGTCTAACTGCTGAGGAGTCCCATACCAGGACGAAACGGCCGTCCAGTGCTTCCAGGTTTTCAATGGTGGTCTAGCTTCAACTGACTCATGATTTCAACCTGTGAAATTTACTAAAATCTCCACAAAACTCATTCTGATAATTATTCAATAGACATACAATTCTCATTTAAACAATGAAATCATGAAGTTCAGCGAGGGATCGCTTTTCAACGAATTTATTATCAAGCTGTACAATCATATATATATATATATATATATATATATATATATATATATATATGAAAACGTTTTGTTAAAGTACTAGTTCCATGAGGAACTTTGAACAAGGAATAACCAAGATGATGTAATAAAATGATTACAACACCAGATTACTTAATATGAGTAATAACAATAGACTAAGTAGGTTAGTAATGAATTATAACGTGAATGTAGTAAGATGATTAAAATGTTTTTGTTGTGATAATTGTATGTAATTAAAGGTAACAGAGGTGCAAAATAAATGAAGTAATATCATGAGCCACTATGAGAAGGAATCTGGTTGTTCCGTTCCAAAGAAAAAATCTTTATATAAGTTCGAAATTTAAATGTGATCGAATATCTGTTGTAATCAGAAATGGTTTAACGACAGCGATAAAAAAACATTTAATGCGGCAAAACTGCGAACAACGTTCACTAGAAGGAACTTGTTTTCTGTGTCCATAAAAGATAAGTTTCCCTGTCTGGTCGCCTCCATATGCATCTACCAGTTCACCTGCTCTTGTGGAGTAAGGTATATTGGCCGAAGCCTGCGCTCGCCTTCAACTCGAATACTGAAACATGTCCTAGTTTGGTTCTACTAGGTTGAGAGGAAAGCAGTTAGGAGTTCTGTACTTGAACATCCAATCGACTGTAATCACTCTGCAGATCCACAGTTTAATTTTAACGTTGTATATGCGATTCGTTCAAATCCATCTAGATTTCTTCGTATCTAACTCCTGAAAATACCCGAAGCTCTTACCATCCATGAGCTCAAACCAGAACTATGCGTAGAAAAGAAGTACGTCCTGTAGTTATCGCTACCCTGGCCTTATTCTATTATTATTATTATTATTATTACTGCATTTATCCCTTTACTTATGTTTCATATTCTCATTACTTTATTCATAACTGCTCATGATATCAAGTCATTTATTTTGCGCCTCTATTACCCTTAATTACATACAATTATTACAACAAAAACATTTTTATCATCTTACTACATTCACGTTATAATGCATTACTAACTTATTAAGTCTATTGTTATTATTCATATTACACACTCTAGTATTATAGTCTTTCTATGACACCACCTTGGTTATTCCTTGTTCACATTTCCTCACGGAACTAGTACTTTAACCAAAAATTATATTCAGAGAGGGGTTTTGTGAACATTATAGTAATTTAATAGTTGAATTCATGATTCATTCTAAACTATACCACCATGGGAAACCTGAGAGCACTGGACGGCCGTTTCGCCCTACTGTGAGACTCCTCAGCAGTGCGCATCCATGATTCCACCCATGAGATTCGAACCCAGGATCTATCGATCTCTCACGCGAACGCTAACATAGGATTGTACAGCTTGAAAAGAGATCCTTTCGCTGAGCTTCATGTTTTTTAATTATTTTAATATTCGTTATGGATGATGAAGGCTATTAGCATGAAATTATAATTTAATTTAATGTAATCTAGCCGTAAGATTTCTAAAAATGTATTTTCAAAACTTGAGTTTCTAATTTATCTAAATAATAATACTATTACTAACAATTTATAAGTAGTAAGAAGCAAATAATCAACAAAATAAAAACAACCGGAAATTTTCAACGATTGACTTATCCTTACAAAAGGAAGTGACTGTTCACATTATAATTTAGAATACATTACCACTTTCTCTAAGATTGATAATTAGAAGAAATAGAAAATTAGAAAAAAATTACTCTACAGGTGAAAGGAACAAAACCCAGATAGTTAGTGTGTGTGTGTGTGTGTTCGTTTGTCTGTGAATATTGAATGGGAAAATATTGTTCAGAAGGTAACATTGTAATCCTTTAATTAATGAAACAATTTCTCTTTTTTATAATGAATTAAAAGTGAAATGATCACTTCACTAGATTATTTACTTATTCATTTGAATTGATTGATAGAGAATGCAAAAGAATTATGTTAATAGTAATCCTATACTACTAATATTAAACACAAGTTTAAGTAAGGGAAATGGGAATTTATTTTCTAGACATCTAGACGACTAGTTTGTACGTGTGCAACTTTTTCATACACACACACATATATATATACACATACTTACATATACTATCTGACTCTTTCTAAAAAAATGAACAGTAAATACTACTACTGAATAATTGATAGGAGTAGCATTTTTGAGTGTGTCATTTTTAAGTGGGTTTTTGTTCTCTAAAGTGGATAGTTTAATCGTGAAGGTTTCATTGTTCCTTTGAATAACATCAACAACATCAGCACATATTTCAGGTAGAAGTGAAGTGTTCAAATTTCTCCACATATGACTCACAGCTTGTTCTGTCGATCTTAATCTAGATTGAATATTATTGACTTTTAACCTTTCATTGTTTACTTATTTATTTTGATTGTATCTCCCATTAATTTAATTATTAATCCTATATTTGTCAATGATTTTTCTGTTTGGTTGATAGACTGGACTGATTTTGATGTTTGTTGATAGCTTCTAAAAATTCCTTAATGCTTTTATGATTCCCTCTACTTAAAATCTCAATATTTTCCCAGTCGAATGTATGTTCTTAATTGTCCACATCTATTGATATAAGTGAGGATATGTCATGGCGTTTGCCCGCCAATTGATGTTCCTGCAATCGAAGACGTCCACTTTGTCTGATGTATTGGTTTTAACAATTGGAACAATTAATTTTGTAGATGATGTTCAATTTTTCTTCTTTTGTCATTTTGTCCTTTGATTTGCATTGGATTGATTGAAATGATTTTGTTGGTTTGTGTGCTACATCTACTCCAACTGGTTTCAATAATTTCGCTGTAATTTCTAGTATGTCCTTTACATATGGTAAGATGATCTGTCTATTGGTTTCCGTACTTGATTTTGTTTCTGACGATGAGTTGAGTTGATATCTTTTTGATAAATTTGATTAGATAGCCGTTCTTTTGAGAGATAGACACTTACTTACTTACGCCTGTTACTCCCAATGGAGTATAGGCCACCAACCAGCATTCTCCAACACGCTCTGTCCTACTCTGCCTTCCGTTCTAGTTCTATCCAATTCTTGTTCACTATTTTCATGTCTGTCTACATTTCTCGACGTAATGTGTTCTTTGGTCTTCCTCTCCTCCTCCTCCCGCTAATGCTTTGGCCTTGAGGATTACATATGAGGGCTTGCATTGTGACGCAGTTCGGTGATTTCCTCAATGTGTGTCCTATCCACTTCTAGCACTTCCTAATTTCTTCCTTCGCTGGAATCTGACTTGTTCTCTCCAACAGTTGGTTGTTGCTAATAGTGTCCGGCCAACGAATTCGAAGTATTTTTTGTAGAAAAAGGTTAATGAACACTTGTATGTTCTGGATGATGGCTTTCGTAGTTCTCTAGATTTCTGCCCCATATGGTAGAACTGTCTTGACATTTGTATTGAAAATTCTGACATTGGTGTTGGTTGACAGTTGTTTTGAGCTCCAGATGATTCTCAGTTGTAAACATACTGCTCTTGTTTTACCGATCCGCGCCATCACATCTGCATCAGATCCACCCTGTTCATCAATGATGCTGCCCAAATATGTAACGGTTTTTACATCTTCCAAATCTTCTCCGTCACGCCTGATTGGATTGGTGCATTCTGTGTTGTATCGGAGAATCTTGCTTTTCCTTTGTGTATATTGAGACCTACTGCTCCTGAGGCTGCTGCCACACTGATCGTTTTATCCTGCATTTGTTGTTGCGATTGCGATAGGATGGCCAGATCATCTGCGAAGTCTAGATCGTCTAGTTGCATCCTAGATGTCCACTGTATCCCGTGCTTCCCTTCAGATGTTGACGTCTTCATGATCCAGTCGATCACCAGGAGAAAGAGGAAGGATGAGAGTAAACAACTTTGCCTGACACTGGTCTTTAATTCGAACGAGTCTGTCAGTTGTCCTTCATGCACGATTTTGCAGTTTAATCCATCATATGAGTTCTGTATGATATTGACTATCTTCTGAGGCACGCCGCAGTATCGAAGAACCTTACATAGTGTTGTTCTGTCCACGCTATCAAATGCTTTTTCGTAGTCAATGAGAGAGATAGATACACTTCTTTATTTTTCTACGCTGCAGTTATATTGCAGTCTGGTCATTTTTTTGTAAAATAAGAGTAAATAGAAAAATCTATTCAAAAATTAACTGAATAAGTTTCATGACGACAATCATCTAGTTTCAATAATTGAAAAGCTGATGAAAATGTTATACCACACCAAGAATTACGAATGGGAACTCTTGAGAAATATTTATGGAGCAATACGATATGCATACGATGCACATTGGTCACTACTCAGTGACTAGTCAATTTTAAACACATCTCAGTCCTACATGTGGTCGGATGTAGACCAAATATGTTTGACTGATATGGACCCGAATCCGCTATGGAGCATTAGTTCGCCCCACATTACAAATACACATTGTCGCCAACTTTTGGACAGCCCAAAATCTTGATCCAGGGTTTCTCGTTTACTATCGCTTAGCGCCATCTTACATTAATCTTTTGAATCATTGTAGCATTTAACTAATCCCCTTTCAATGGTGATCTAGCTTAGATTGACTCGTGAATTCAACTATTAAAAATAGTACTGTCTCCACAAATCCCAATACTGATAATGATCATGTGCTTACTAGTGACTTGCTTCAAAATGATACTCCTGAAATTCTAGCAAGAAGCTTTGACCAGTAGAGCCCAATCTGTATTAGGTAGAGAAAGTTATCCACCTCAGGCAATGGATAAAGGGTTGTGCGAAATCATGGATTGATTGAAGTTAGACATTCACATCATTGGATGCCGACTTAGTGGTCTAGAGCATAAGTGTTCGCCTGTAAGTCTGAAGGTTCGAGTCTCGTGTGCAAGGTTGTGGGTGCACACTACTGAGGAGTCCTATACTAGGATGAAACAGAAGTCCAGTGCTTCCAGGTTTTTCATTGTGGTCTAGCTTTAACTGAGTCATGAATTCAATGATTAAATTACTACAATCTTCACAAAACTCCTCTGTGATCATAAAAATACTTTTCTTTTAAACTTTAATTTAATCTTCTGTATATTCTTTGAAATGTATTACTGAAGACATAAGTTTTAATATGCTTCAATGAACTGCTGTTAAATTCTGTCCTAATTAATCTAATTGAGTTTATGAAGCCTCAGAAATCGTTAAATCATCTATACATAAGTTTTCAATACTGAAAGAAAAGACTGTTATGTAGATCAAATTTATGAAAGATTATTATAGGTCGACACTATAACAACTATTCCATTCTATTGCCCACATGATCTATTCAAAATTTTGAACAAATAAATTATTCAAATCTTTTTAGTTCTTCTAATGTTCAGTCAGTCAGCTACAACGTAGGATCAGGCACATATGTGCATCGATCCAAGTTGCTGCAGCTCATTAGCACAACAAGATGAACACCGAATTCATAGGAGTAGTTAATTCAATGGTGGTAATATATAAAAGAAATATTACATATAAGGATATAGTAAAGGAAGAAAGAATTAGTTCGTGGAAAGAAGGATATGAAGCGATTTTAATCTCATAGTTTAAGGGAAGACATAAAGTGCATACACCTACGTGATTGCCAATTAATCACGTATTTTCTATGCATGTGTCTACTTACTCTCTGTATTTGTAACATGATTTGGAAAAAATCTAGATTATGTTATAATTCAATAAGTTTTTGTATTACTGAACCCGGTCATACTGAAACCAGACGAATACTAAAACACTACTAAATGGTTATATTTTAGTAGCCTTTAATCTGACTCCTAGTTGATTGTGTATATGATTGTTATTGAAATATTCATGTCTGCTATCCTCCTAGATTATTATCGACTTAATTCGCGTTAGTGAATAAAGAAATTAAATAAGTCATATACGAGAATGAATTTCGAATACTTATATTTTATAAAATCGTTGATCCAGACAAATGAGCGGAGGAGAGATGTGAAACGACACACAGTGGAGAAGGCATGTAAGTCAACTTGACTTGAGCAAGGGTTAATAGATATTTATAGTCGGATAGGAATAAGTTAAAGACATGTGATGAATAGGACAAAAGGTGTACACAAACACGCTCATATAACAACAGTCAAGGTTAATAAACAAGTAGCTGACAAGGTCAAAATGTGACTCAACTAGAATGAGTAAATTGGTTTGTCAGGGAGCCAGGGTAACCTATGTGTGCTTAACATAGCAACCGACACTACAATATATATATATCAGATTTTTAAAACCATAAACGTGAATTTTTTTTACTTTACAGTGTTGAAACTGTAAGAAACTAACTAATATGTTATACCACTACAGTCAAAGAAATGATGTTAATACAGACCCAACTGAACGAATATTATTTCTAGTTAATATGATCATTAGGTAATTTATATACCTTTTAAAACTGACTATTAGATAACAATAATTATTCCATGTTTTGATGAAGTTTAGTTCTTTAAGCTGGATGGTTTGGTCATGAAAGTTTGCGCTGAAGATGTCGTTTAGAAGAACGATGAAAGCTCCACGATCAAACCATCCAGCTTAGAGAATAAAACTCTAACAAAACCATCCACCTGAGCTACAAATCTTCTCTATCATCTCATTATTCCATATTCTTTCTTTAAAAATCCTTTTTAAAACTTCTGTTGTAGTCACCTGTGATTGTATTTGATTTATATTACATAGACATATATTATTCTATGTTTCTTCTTTTTCCAAAAACAAAAAATGTTTTTAGCAACTTATCATTGGTACAATAAACTAATGGATATTGAACTTGATGTACAATATCTTCGTTCGAATTCGCACTGAAATCGGAAAAAGAATTTATGCAACCATCAGATAACATCATCATCTATCAATTAATCGAAATGGCTTTGAATAACTTTAATTTAATAGTATGCAGTTACATGTTACATGTCATATAAATTTACATACCAAAGATAATATGCTTCACTGAATGCCTATATTATTGAAATTGTACAATAAATGGAGGCAATAAATGTGCCTTGACTATGTATCCTTCATACTTCTTCATATATATATAAACCTATATTCATATAATTCCTTTCAGTTTAATAATTTTCATAAATGTAATTTGTAAACTACTAAATAATGATAATAATTTGTTCACATCTAATAGTAGTATTCATACTTTACATAACAATCAATTCACGTATTCAATGTTTAATGCATATGACAATCTAACACGGGTTTTTTTATTTGTAAATATACTTTGTTTTTTTTTAAAAGTTGCACTATTTCATATAATTTCATGAATATCCCAAATCATAGTTGGATGTTTAGTGATTATTTTTATGCTACTAATATGTTTTTCAGTAGATAAAAATGTTAGACAAAATTAAACTTGAAGTCGAGTACTCAAGATTTTACTGGGATCATAAACCGATCAAGCTTAGACCACCAGTGAAAATGTGGAAGCACTTGACGGCCATTTTGCCATAGTGTAGGACGTTTCAACAGTGCTCGTCCACGATCCCGCACGTGAGGCTTAAACTCAGGACTTTAGTTCTCGCTCGCGAACGCTTAACCTGTAGACCATTGAGAAAGCATCCAATGACAAACTTCAACCCAACACGTACCCTTTAGATATATCTACATACACAACTACACAAGCTAAGATTCACGTATTTTATATACATAGAAATGCACATTGGGCAGCCCGTCACGATTTCAAAGTCTCAAAGAGTGAACTTTGAGCAATCCATTGATCGCCCAAGTATGCTGGTCAGGTTACACCCACTACCTAACTGTGCCACTAGGGACATTTGATTCAGATGTCGCTGCCTGAACTGAGCCATCTGTAACTAAAATCCTTTGTTAATGGATCCAAATTGCTAGTGTGTCACCTTATAGTTACCAGTGCTCTGAATACCATTAATAATCAATAAATATTACACGCGTAAATTGATTTAAATGAAAATATATTGTGCCTTACATGAGCTAATTATCAAACAGTAACGTAGCCCAGATGAGGAATCATACTTTAAAATTAATCGTGAAACAAAAGGCAGAGAACTGAATAAACGGTACATATTTGAGTAGAACTAATTAAAGAATAATCTGGTGTATAATTTATTAACACATCACGCCTACTTTATACAATGAATAACAACAATTAACTAGAATGTGTTCTGGGTGTTACCTTTCAGAAACACCCATGTATCACTTTAAACTGATGGAGTTATTGAAGAGTAGTTCATATGAAGAGAACTAAAAAAGGAACGAATAGAGAAAGATGAATATAATCGGATACCGAAACACGTAGTGAAATAAGAGAATATAATAAAAGAACCAATGACATGTTATCATAATGAAACGATTAAATCTACTATAATATTGTCTCTATAAGCAACAGACTACTGATAAATAACAAGTAGTATAATAGTAATAAACTAAATTTGGAAAACCATAAACAAACTTGAGGATTCTATGTGAGGGCTTGTCTTGTGACGACGTTTGGTGCTTTCCTCAATGTGTGTCCTATCCACTTCCAGCGCTTCTTCCTAATTTCTTCCTCCACTGGGATCTAGTTTGTTCTTTCCCACAGTTGGTTGTTGCTAATAGTGTCTGGTCAACGGATCCGAAGTATTTTGAGTAGACAACTGTTAATAAACACCTGTATTTTCTGGATGATGGCTTCCGTAGTTCCCCAGTTTTCTGCCCCATACAGTAGAACCGTCTTGACATTTGTATTGAAAATCCTGACCTTGGTGTTGGTTGACAGACAGTTGTTTTGAGCTCCAGATGATTCTCAGTTGTAAACATACTGCTCTTGTTTTACCGATCCGCGCCATCACATCTGCATCAGATCCACCCTGTTCATCAATGATGCTGCCCAAATATGTAACGGTTTTTACATCTTCCAAATCTTCTCCGTCACGCCTGATTGGATTGGTGCATGCTGTGTTGTATCGGAGAATCTTGCTTTTCCTTTGTGTATATTGAGACCTACTGCTCCTGAGGCTGCTGCCACACTGATCGTTTTATCCTGCATTTGTTGTTGCGATTGCGATAGGATGGCCAGATCATCTGCGAAGTCTAGATCGTCTAGTTGCATCCTAGATGTCCACTGTATCCCGTGCTTCCCTTCAGATGTTGACGTCTTCATGATCCAGTCGATCACCAGGAGAAAGAGGAAGGATGAGAGTAAACAACTTTGCCTGACACTGGTCTTTAATTCGAACGAGTCTGTGACATGCCGCCCATACACGATTTTGCAGTTTAATCCATCATATGAGTTCTGTATGATATTGACTATCTTCTGAGGCACGCCGCAGTATCGAAGAAGCTTCCATAGCGTTTTTCTGTCCACTTAATATATTACTTAGTATATTTCTTTTAAGAACCGACTACACTAGGTACATGACTGTCTAGATAAGATACAATCTTATCAATGAAAATCAACTTGACTCACCAAGACCAAATGGTCTTCAAAAGCTTTTAAAATAACTATGTTATTGCAATAATTGCATCATTAACTAGCAGGCTTTCTTCTCATTAATAATGTGATTGATTCTTTCTAGCATTTGGATGATCACATTACATCACGAAATGATTGATTTTAAGGGATGGATGCTCTATGAAAATATCGAAAGGTTTGATGCCTAGTAAAGTCCTAGGTGTTCATAACTTCAAAGTCCCATACTATGAGAAAGCAAATATCCAGTACTCCCTTATTGTTAGTGGTAACCTAACTAGTCTCATCTCGTGACCAATATCATATTTGAATAACGTTGATTATTAATTCAGCTTAATTTAAGTGATGAAAGTATAATGGAAAGGAATATTAGATTACTTCACAAATTAGTTGTTTAATAATATGCTAAACCTTAAGTCAACCAGAGTAATTTTTACTAATATTTCTGTGTATATCTAAATAAATCAATAAATATTAAGTGTAACCGTCGTTGACAGTGCTATTCAGGTGTGAAATATGGAACCACAATAATGCTCGACCATGTTCCATTGAATCTAGTGAGCGATTGACTGACACTTGACTTGTTTGAATTCCACCAGTCACGACTTCTCAAGGATATACATTGCTCAACGATTTCATCCTGTGAGTAATGTAGCAAATGTTCTGTGGTTCCTCGTTTCAAAGACTGTCAAATTTTTTCTAATGAACACAATTTGGAGAAAGACGGTTTCAATAAGCTGACATGATGAATATATGAGCAAATATAATTGAACATATCATTGAGTCCAGTTGCCATGCTGTTTGTGTTCTTACGTTCTTCCTCTAATCTCCAACCTCATGTCATTGTTTAAATAAACAAATTGACCAGTGTTTGTCAATCCAGTTTATTTGTTCCTTTCATTGTGTAGATGGACTATGTGAATGTGACAATGTTCGATATCCACAAATTGATTATACATGGTTGAGTGTTTGTCAAGCAAAAAATTAAAAGACTCAACATACTAGGGATTATTTCATTTTTATATTTATTTCTTCTGTCGTGAAAGACTTGAACTTTGATGTATTCACAAAAGAAATCTGTCAAAAATCAATTCTGAAGAAAATATAAACTTAAGAATCCTTGTCGTCCTTTTTGTTGGGATTTATATCATCAATGTCTACTTTTCAAAGTTACTCTGTTATAAAAAATCTTTAAACAGACAACAGTGAACAGCTTTTTTCGAGAGTGATCTGAAACTATTTAACATTAAACAAAGACGTATAGTGGCTAGCAGTGGAGTCCAGGACATGCGTTTTATTCTATTAGGGATTCGTCAGCTCGATGTACCTGCATCCTAGAGTTGATGTTCACTTTGGGACTCGAACCCAGTACCGTCCGCCTCAAACGCCATCGCGTTTTCCACTTAGCTACTGATTCCTGGCAGCCATCTGCTTGTGCAATGGGGTGAAAGTTAAATTCACTGGTGTTGTTTTACTTTCATCTCCCCATTGTTATTTAGGACTGCAATTGATCAGTCTCTTATGTATTTAACATTAATTCTGAAATCAGAATATAGACTGTTGAGGAGTCCTATACTAAGATGAAATGGCAGTCCAATGCTTCCAGGTTTTTCATAGTGAGCTAGCTTTGATCGATTCATAAATTCAACTATTAAAAACTACTACAACCCAAAAAAAAATTACTTCAACCTTTACTATGGGCAACTTTAAACTGTTTTTATACTATCTATCATTTTGGATTTGATAAAACGTTTTAGAATTTTAGAGGAAAGTATAATACGAATGATAATTTAGTGACTCAAAATAGTCTTCTGTGACAAAAAAAAAGAAGCGAATAATGATTGATTGTGTCGTATGACATTTATTTCTATCTTTGATTATTCGTTTTTTAATTGACAAACAATTTGTACTATACTGGCACTATGATCAGTTTGCATTAAATGAATCAATATCAAGCTGTTCACATTCTTCACCAAACCTTTGCTTAGCAACGCTGAAACAGTAATCATCTAGGTGAAGAAACCCGAGCTATGCGTACAAAATAAATATCTTCAACCGCTTTTCCACTCCTAGCCAACCTCAATGCTAATTAATTAATAGCAATCTTAGCTATTAAATGACTTAATTTGGCTATTGTACTTACAACCTTTCGTAGTCAAATGTAACTTTCACAAATCTTTGTATTATTGTTATTATTACTATTATCATTATTATTATTGGTTAAAGATCATTACTAATCTCCCCAATAAATGATTCATTCACTTCATATTCATCCCTCCGTATTACATCTTACTAATTTCCCACACAATTTAGTCTTCCATTAAACATTTGACCGAATTGTAATTGCACTATTATTTCTCTCATCCCATCTGATCCATATTTATTCGGATCATGGATCTTAACATTTTCATTTAACATATAAGCTGATTCAAGTTAACATTCTGTCTGAGTTATATCAACATGAACAATTTTATTCAAGTTTGTTAGACAAACCTAAATTCACATACTTTACACCATATACTTTACCCTTAACATGGTGATGACTTGAATTGTAGGGGCCTGAACAGAATCTATCGAAAAGAACATTCTTCATTCAATATATTTTAGTCTTTTAATATGATGGGGGGATCTTTAAACAATTTATACTATTCTGTATGTAAATACCCATATGTCTTTCTGTTACCAAAAAATTTATTCTGTTGGGATTTAATTATTACCTTTATAAGCAAATTATAAATTATATAACTTACTTACTTACTTACGCCTATTACTCCTAATGGAGCATAGACCGTCTACCAGCATTCTCCAATCCACTCTCTCCTGAACCTTCTTTTCTAGTTCCATCCAAATTACATATAACC